GCTGCGTGACAGCCAGCAGTTTCCCGGGTCGTTTGCGCTGCACTACGTGCATCAGGGCGTTGTGCACGACACGATTCTGGAGAGCACCGCCTCTGGGTTTCGTCTCCCGCAGGACGGCGGCGACTTCTACACAGAGTACGCAGCCATGCTTTCCTGTATGCTGCTGTTTTGTCTTGTGTTGTGTTGTGTTGTGTTGTGTTGTGTTGTGTTGTCTTGTGTTGTGTTGTGGGCATGTTTGTTTGGTTGGTTGTTTGACAATACACACAGGGTCCAGCCTTCACCGTCACACATATCTCATCTCTGCCCCCCTCCTTCCCAACCGCGGCGCAGCCTGCTGTCGTTTGTTGATGCGAGCACGGCTGCGGTGGTGGGCAGCCTGCCGTGCAAGCTTGTGCTGCCACGGCCACTGCACGCCATTCTGGAGACGCGGCACCGGCGCACGGCGGACCAGGACCTGCAGCGCGAGGACGACGCCATCGCCCGCATCCGCCAGCAGTCCCGCATGGTCCGTGGCTGCTGCTGGTGGTGATGATGGTGGTGGTGATGATGGTGATGGTGGTGGTGATGATGATGATGGTGGTGATGATGATGACGATGGTGGTGATGATGATGATGCAACGTGTGATTGATTCAATGTGTGATTGATTCAACGTGAGTGAGGGTGCGTCGAGTGTACACCATGGTGGGCACCTCACAGAGTTTCGTCGCGTGTGTGCACATGTGTACGTGTGTTCATCGTGTGCAGATGTCGTCTGCTGTGTCGCGGCCACGATGGGATATGCGGTCCGCTTCCCGCGCAGAGGCACTCGACTTTCTCAGAAGTGAGAACACACATGCACATGCATATGCACGCACACTGATGTGGCTTGCTCTTGTCCTTGTGCGTCCCAGTTTCTGTTTTGTCTCTGACTGTCAGTCAGTCTGCATTAGTGTGGCTCTTGCCTTCGCGGTTTCCTTTGCCTCACCACCACCATCACCACCATCATCACCACCACCACCATGCATCGTCATCAGCGCAACCACCGGGGGGATTTGTGGTCCGGAGCTCCGAGTCGTGTTACGCGGCACTCAGCATCCGCGCAGGAAACGGCAAGGAGCGACACATGCATATCGAACGCGCCACCAATGGTGTGTAGGGCAGCATTCAGCTGCTTCCTCCTGCTTTGTGTCGGAGATTGGTGTGACAGCACTGTCAGACTGGCTCTGATTCTCACATACACAAGCCTTTGTACACTCTCTCACTCTCACGCTCATTCGCACACACATACACACACACACACACAAACACGCACTCACTCACTCACACTCGCATGCTCACTCACTCCCATGCCCGCCTTGACTTGACAGGCGTGTATCTGAAGAAGCACAAGCAGGTGTTCCCAGAGCTGGATGCGCTCATTGCGTTTTATGCGGAGGCGGAGCGACCCGAGCTGGGCATCCAACTGCGGCCGTGATGCTTTTGATGTTTTGATGTTTTGATGCTTTTGATGCTTTTGATGTGAAGATTCTACGGGTGTGTTTGTGTGTGCGTGTTATTGCGTGTTGTGAAGCTGTCGTGAATAAAGCATTTTCCTGTGCATGATGTGAATCACGGGCGAACAGACACACACACAGAGAGACACACACACACAGACACACACACAGACACAGACACACACACACACACACACACACACACAGACACAGACACACACACACACACACACACACACACACACACACACACACACACACACACACACACACACACACAGACACACACACACAGACACAGACACACACACACACACACACACACACACACACACACACACACACACACACACACACACACACACACACACACAGCACCGACGACTGTCTTGAACAGCATAAATTGCATGCAGATTTTCGTGGGCATCTTTAGCAATTCGCCAACAATTCCACTTGCTCGTGAAGGACCACGCAACGAAGCACAAAAGTACGCACCACACACACGTTTCTCTCTCTCCTGCTGTGCTGCTGTGAATAGCATCCATCAACGTTGTGAGGTGAGAGCAGCGTGAGCACGAGAGGGAGATGGCGTGTGGCACAGGCTCTCGGTTGTTGTTCTCGTGCTTTTCATCTGTGATGTATGTTGACTCTGTATGTGGTTGTGGCCGAGGCAGTTTGATGTTGCCTCCAAAACGTATTGCTGTGACATGACTCATCGTGCGTTTGTTTGTATTTGAGAGATGTGTGTGTGTGCGTGTCTTTGTGTGTGTATGTGTGTGTGCGTGTCTTTGTGTGTGTATGTGTGTGTGTGTGTGTGTGTGTGTGTGTTTGATGCATGGGCCTGTGTTCTGTTGTGTGTTGACCTTTGGGGTTCCATGTACTTGGTGCTTCTATTCTGCCCCGCAACCATAGCTCACGTGCGTGTTTGCTGATGTGCGTT